CAAATGATGATGCAGAAATAATGGCCTTGGATATAATCCTTTTATCAATTTAAAGTCTAATAACAATTAAATAACATTACAAACTATAAAAATTCAAGTTCATTACAAAACAATTAAACTTTATTGAAACTACGGTTTTTCACAAATTATTATTTTTTTTGTTTTAGCTAAAAGCTTATATTAAATAAATAGTCTTACCAAGAATAGGACATTCATATTATTAACACTCGGTTGATTCAGGTAAAGTTTTTCTTTCTAAGTCTGTAGAGAGAAATTTCTAAACTCCATTTCTTTCTGTGGCACCATTGACCTCCACCCTTCCAATTTTTTTTTCTTTTAAAATCACAGTTTGCTCAGGAAACACCACTCTTCACATTAGTTCCTCCACAGTCAGTGTGTAAAACAGAGGTTGCCATGGATACAGGAAACTGAGAGACAGGAAGTAAGTTTATCTGTTTCAAAAGTATTGTTGAAAGGAAATCTCAGGAACTTATTTTTCAGAATGCAGTTAATTTGAGTTTTCCTAATGCACACAACTAAATACTGCATAATTTAAAAAATAACTATTTTTAAAAGAAAAAACTTGAAAATTTAAAATTTTCAGAGTGAGCAAATACTGTATACATCAACAACAGATAGCTAGAGTGGAAAAAGCAAGTTGAAATAAGATGAAATAGAGTAATATAATTTTTATGAATTTTTAAAATATTTATCTTGTTTTGAATACATATTAGAAATTTCAACTTTGCTTTATTTCTTAAAAAACAGGTGAGTGATTGAGCATCAACTTATAAACCAGGAGGTCATGGTTCGATTCCCAGTCAGGCCAAATTCCTGGTATGGGCTCAATTTCCCATGAGGGGTGTGCAATAGGCAGCAGATCAATGATTCTTTCTCATCACTGTTTCTATCTCTCTCTTCCTCTTCTTTCCTCTCTGAAGTCAATAAAAATATATATTAAAAAAATAAAAACAGCAAAAAAGCAATTTAGAATAATGAACACAAATGTTATACTATTCTTTAAATTCTGTTTTAATTTTTCCAAAGAAAAACTGGGGATATAATAAATAATGAATACTACTAATTAGTGCTTTAATACAAAGATGTAGCAAGATGGGTTTACAGTTGTAAATATGCAAAACAATTTTTCTTGTATTATTATTTAGAAATTATTGCATGATTTTCTATACAAACAATTATAAACCTACTTTTGCTCCACCCTATATATTAAAGGCCCATTCTGCACAGTGTATAATGATATCAAGTTGCATTCCAAATTACTGACAAAAGTTATATTTTAGGGGGGAAAAACTGGGGAGAGTGAAAGAGGCCCTTAAATGACATTTTACTACATCTGAATAAGTTTTGAATCTTTTAGGAATAAACATGTGTATATTTTAATTCTCCCACAAGGACATTTTTTTCAGTGACTTTAGACAAAGAGGAAGGGGGAGAGAGGAAGAATGATGTGAGAGAGAAAGACAGATCAGCCACCTTCCACATGCACCCTTCACGCCCCATCAAGAATCCAATCTGCAACCTTTTGGTATATGAGACAATTCTCCAACCAACTGAGCCATCTAACAAGGGCTATAATGTAATATTTTAAGGTAAGGATTTAAAGAACTATTAACTTTTTATAATATATATTATTCAGTCATAATTTTCCAAAAAGCTGATTGCTTAGGTTTTCTAATTCTGACTTTTATTAATCTTACCAATATTCTAATAATACACTTAAAATATTAGTGATAATATATAATTGTACACTAAAATTCCCTTTTCAATATTAAAACAGCTTTACTTCACATCAAGACAATTACTTCAGATAACTATGAATTATTTCCATATTAAGTATGATCTACAATTCTCACAAATATCCTTTGTGAATGGCTATTGTTTTTTAATTGCATCATACAACTTAGATATATAGGGTTCAGGACATGCTACCCCAAAATGTAGCTACATAGAATATTTTAAGCTAAAGAGTTTTAAGAAAATAGCAGAAACAAAATGGTCTCTCTCTGACCCTCTAATTCTCAGATATACCCCATACCCTCTGCCCGACAATCCTGAAAGATTATAAAACTTTCACGTTGAGAGGTGCCCATTCTATATTGGGAAGAAAGGAGCATCTTTATCGCCAAAGATAAAAGGACTCTGGCCAGAACCCAAACAAACAGGTCTTATACAATTTCTTCCACTTTAGTACACTTACTTACCTCATACGCTTATATCTTTCCACTTTATATCCACTCTACATCAAACCCACAAAAACACAGAGGTTTAACAATTTCTCCTGGTCTTCATTTCCTTATTAAGAAGCTAGTATCATGTAAAACAAATTAAATTTGTATGCTCTTTTCTCAAATCTGCAAAGGTTAATCAATCCATTCCACTCATAGTCAAAAGTCTTTGTGTCAAGTTAAGAGTCCCAAAGGTGAGTAATGGTGCAAGAACAACCAGCTAAAAAATGTACCTATCACAATCAGATACCACATCACAACTACTAACATCCTATATAATAAAGATGTAATATGCAAATTGACGATCACTCCAACATACAAGATGGCCGCCCAGATGTGGACACAAGATGGTACCACAAGATGACCAGGCTTGCAGAGAAGGCAGTTGGGGGCAACCAGGCTGGTGGGGGAGGGCAGTTAGGGGTGATCAGGCCTGCAGGGAAGGGCAGTTGGGGATGACCAGGCCGGCAGGGAAGGGCAATTGGGGGGGACTGGGGCTGTAGGGGAGGGCAGTTAGGGACAACCGGGCCAGCAGGGTAGCAGTTAAGCATCGATCAGGTTGACAAGGGAGTGGTTAGGGGGTGATCAAGCTGGCAGGCAGAAGCAGTTAGTGACAGTCAGGCAGGCAGGCGAGCGGGTGGGAGCCAGCAGTCCTGGATTGTGAGAGGGATGTCTCAAATTGGAGAGGGTGCAGGCTGGGCTGAGGGACAATTCCCCTCCTCCCCCCCCCTCCCCCCTTCCCCTCTCCCCCCAGTGCACAAATTTTGTGCACCGGGCCTCAAGTAGCTATAATAATAAAGAAAAAATACAAGTATTGACAGACATAGAGAAATTAGAACCACTATGAAAAATAGTCTGGCAGTCCTCAAGGGGTAAAACAGAGTCATCATATGACCCAGCAATACCCAAAAGAAAGGAAAGCACACATCTAAATGAAAACTTATATACAAATAATAGCAACATTAATAATAATAGCCAAAAAGTAGAAACAACCCAAATATCCATCATCTGGTGAATGATAAACAAAATGTGGTAGGTATATCTGTACAAGAAAACATTATTCAACAAAAAAAGATATAAAATGCTAATATATGCTACAAAATGGATGAACCTTGAAAACATGCTAAATTAGAGACCACATACTGTCTGGTTTCATTAGTAGGAAAAGTCTGGAATAGACATGTCTATAGGGACTGAAAGTAGATTAGTGGTTGCCTAGGGCTAGGGGAGTATGAGAGAATAAGGAGTGTCAAAGGGTACATGGTTTCTTTTGGGGATAACAAAAACTGATCATGGTGATAGCTGCACAACTCTGTGGATATACTGAAAACTACTGAATTCTACATTTTAAATGAGTCAACTGTATGGTCTGTGAGTTATTATATCTCAATAAGGCTTATAATGCACACACAAAGATGTTTCTAAGACATTTTTTTTGTAAGAGACAAAAAATTAAGAACTAATTTTTACTGTAGAAAAGCTACTAAAATATTATATTAAGGATTTATAGATAAAAAAAAATATATCAAAAATGCGAAATAAGAAAACATGACCTAGGTGTAAGAGACACATTCTCTTTTAAGAGATGAAAATAAAATTATATCATCCTATCCTATACAGTAAAAGGGCAATATGCAAATTAACCATCACAAAGATGCTGCTAAGTATCCTACAATGCACAATTCTGCCCCTCAACAAATAATCATCTGGCCCCAAATGTCACTAGAACTATGGTTGAGAAACCCTGCTTTAGAACAATATATTTCTTTTTGAAAAAATATAAATTTTATTGATTTTTTACAGAGAAGAAAAGAGAGGGACAGAGGGCCAGAAACATCGATGAGAGAGAAACATCGACCAGCTGCCTCCTTCCCCCCCGCCCCCAAACTGGGAATGTGCCCACAAACAATGTACATGCCCTTGACCGGAATCGAACCTGGGACCCTTCAATCTGCAAACCGACACTCTATCCACCGAGCCAAACCAGTTTCGGCTAGAACAATATATTTCTGCACTTGAAAATCCATTAGAATGAAAAGAGAAGAAAGTAGCATTTCCCAATTTAACCTGGTTAAGAAAATCATTACCAATGTTATTCTCTAGACCTGCTTATTTTAGGCAAGTGAAATGTTATACTGCAAAGTCTAAAAGAAACACAGAAACAGGAAATTACTATTATACGGGAAATTTACCAGGGAACATCACTGGGGATGTGGAAAGGAGAAAATTTTCCCCAAACTCCAACAACTATGTGGTTGTAAGTAGAAGAATATAACAGAAAAAAATAATAATGCTGACTTCAATATTACCTTCCACTAAAGTATGTGAATATAAATCTCCCTAAGTTATGTCATGGGCCAATTATATATATTATTATTGTATATACAACTATATGCAATTATATAATATATATCTCCATGATTCTATTAAGGTCCTCTATATATAAAGATTTTATTAAGGTCATCTAAATATAAATAGGACCTTAATAAAATCTGGTTATTATAAAAAATGTAAATTCAGACAATCACATAAGTTGTAAAATGAATATGACTGTTACATTGCAGTGCCCAACACTCCCATTCATATATTTTTAGATCTAGACTAACACTTGATACATCATTATCTATTAACAAAATTGGCATACATATACATTAAATAACACTGTCTAGAAACACACAGCAATACCAAATGGCCAAAACAGTGCTAAAATTTTGATGCTTTAAAGAAACAAATTTTAAGAAAACGTTTTCTTACCTATTATCAGATGGCAGAAGAGAAAGCAAAGCCAAAGCTGAGAGTTTTCTCCTTTCAGGCTGAGTAATGTTATCCATACGGTCAACCCACATTTCAATCATATTTCCCAAAAGCTGATCCATCTGAAAAAAAAAAAAAAAAGACCAAGAGGCATCTCAAAATATTTGAAATACTATGTACTTGTGGATAGGCTAAAATCTTATAAGGCATGGTTAAAGTTCAATTCCAGCAACCACAGAATTAGAATATAAATTTGGAGCAAGCCTTGAACCAAAAAGGAACAATTTAAGCAAACCAACTTTAATTAATCTTGAGAGCCAATTAATTTTGTGGAATAAATAGATTTGCTTCTTCAACTCAGCTAGGCTAAGGTATCCAATTGTTCAAATACCAGTCTAGATGCTGTTGTAAAAGTATTTTATAGGTCTGATTAACATTTACAATGTGTTACTTTAAGTACAGGAGATTACCTTATGTAATGCAATTCAATCAGTCTAAAGTCTTCAGAACAAAAATTAAGAAAAGGAGAAATCTTGATTCAAGGCTATACATCAATAGAAGAATACACATACAAAATGTGATACATGTATAAAACAATATTACTCAGACAAAAAATAATAAAAATTTGTGATTTGCGAGGAGAAAAGATGGCGGCTGGCAGGACAGAGGTGAGGTAGAGGAAGTGAGTGAGGGTATAAAAGGAGTGTGTGGATGTGTGCGGAGTGAGTAAGAGACAGTTAAATCTCACAGGAACAACAGGCTCTCTTGGACAAGGAGAGACCACTACTGCTGTGGGCATGGAGCCCATGCCATCTTGAAGAGGAGAATGGCCAAAATTTTTTAGGAACTCATCAGCACCACCACCCGACAGGGCTCTGACACTGCCTGCGACCCAGCAGCCACTCCAGCCAAAATCCTGCTGCCCCAGCTGCAGACCTGCGGACCCTGGGACCTCCACTTGCAAAGGTGCACCGTTCCTGCAGCAATAAGTGCACCTTCCCCCTCCCCAGCAGGAGAATGCCAGACACCACTTCCTTTCGCGCATTTCCAACAGCCCAGGGATCCAGGACACACCACTCCAGAGGCAGAGCCTGGGAGCCACTGGGAGCCCCCACTGGTGTCATTCTGTACAGATAAGGGCACGCTGCCCTGCAGTAGAAATTCTGAATTTCCTCTGCCTGAGTAACTGCCCACAGACACCCCAGCTGCTTAACTTCAGCGCCAGGGCCCCTCAAATTTCGTCAGAGCTCTGCGCCAGCAAACTCACCACCACAAACTCACATTTCCATAGGGCAGGCATCCTAAGCCCATATATCCACAGGGTCCTCTGGAGAGTTGCTTTGAGCCTCTGCTGGGTGTGACTCTGTACAAACAGGAACGCACTGCCCCACAGTAGAAATTCTAATCTCCTTCCTCCTAAATAACAGCCCACATACACCCCAGTTGCTTCACTTCAGTGCCAGGGCCCCTCAAAGTCTGTCAGAGCTCTGCACAGGCAAATGCTCAGCCAGTCCGTGCACGCTTTTCCAATGAGCAGGCACGCTGAGCCCATCTATCTACAGGGTGCTTGTGGAAGCTGCTGTGAGTCCTTGCTGGGTGTGATCTTGGACAAACATGGACTCACTGCCCCTGGCAGTAGAAATTCTGAATTCACTCATCCCGGATACCTGCACGCAGACGCCTCAATTACGCAGATTCAGTGCCAGGGCCTGTCAGAGTACTTCAGTGCCCTTTAATGGCGAACGCACAGAGGGTGCCCCTCCACAGGGAGCTTGCGCATATCCACCACAGGTGCAGCAGCAAAAGCTGGGTCTGCCCACCCCAAAACTACAGAACTCTGATACCACAGTCACGCCTTTCCAGAACGCAGACCTCCTGAACCCCAAAACTCCAACCAACAGGCGATTCCTGGGTGCCATTGTGAGTCCCCACTGGACATATGTGATTTCAATAAAGGGAACAAACACAGCAAAAATTGGGACATCCCTCTCCACAGCTGCTGACTTCTTAGACACCACAGTTGTACCTTTCCAGCTCACAGGCTTACTGGTGTGATCTCTCAGGTCTCCTGGGCTTGGCAATCTAGTGTAGCTCCCTACTTGAGCTATTTGGGTTCTCTTGATGTAAGCCTGTGAGCTGGAAATAAATAGATGTTACTTAAATTCAGCTGCAAACACCTAATTGCATCTTTGAAAATATATTTTAATTGAAAAAATAAAAAATATATATTTTTGTTGATTTCAGAGAGGACAGAAGGAAAGAGAGAAATGTCAATGATGAAAGAGAATCATTATCTGCTGCCTCCTGCATGCATGCCTACCACCAGGGATCAAGCCCGAAATCTGAGCATGTGCCTGGGAATCAAACCAGACCTCCTGGTTCACAGGTGGACACTCAACCACTGAGCAACACCAGCTGGGCTGATTGCATCTTTATAATCAAGTTATTCACCCCAAAAGATGCTGACATTGTAAAAACAACTCACTGCACTGCATTAAAAACAAGTTAATTAAAGAAATGAAACAAAAGCTGCACACGATTATACATATCCCTGTTTCATTTAATGTATTCCTATCACTAAGAATAAAATTGCCCATTTTGAACAGAAAATATGTTTCAACTGCCATTCACGGATTCTTTTTTCTTCTCCCAAATTATAGGTTTGAATACAATAAGACTTTTATAGAATCATTATTTCAATAAGTTATTTCCAATCTTTATCTAGATAAAGACTTCCTTCAATTTAAAAAAACCCAAAAAACTGATTCTTACCTCCTGATTACATTTATGTGCCATCACATTAAGAAGTGAAGAAAAGAAACTCGTGTTTTGTAGCAGGACTCGACCCATAACTCCGAGATATGTGGACATCACTACAGGATACCTCTGGGCAATTAAAAAAGCACATGTAAAATTGTATTAAGCAATTACAAATCAAGGACATGTTAGCATACATAACAATATTCTCCTCCATGTTGCTTCTTTAAAATGAACTGTCAACATTACCTGAATCTAACTTACTAAATGAACATGCCACACAAAGTAATATATATGTACTACATACATATTTATAGAATATATGTGTATATATATAATAAAGAGAGAAGAACAGAGAAAGGATATTTACCAATGGTATATTTATGTATTTATATTATTTTAAATGTCCTTAACATACATTGTTAAATGGATCAATTTAAGAGCTGGACTTAGAACATGTGAGTGAGAGATGAGATAGCAAAGGAAATCTATCTTTCCCTATGTGGAAAAATAACAAAGCTTCATGAATACCTGAAATTTACTTAATTTTCTTCAAAATAATAAAATATTTTTTTAAAGCTTTCCTTTTACTTAAGAAAATGAAGAAATAATTTTCCAATGAAGAGGGAAAATAATTAAAATTACAAGTCTCAGGGTCTAGAACTGTCCTTAGAAACTTAATAAAAATCTTACCTCCCCTTCTATAATACCTCTGAAAACACAGGGTAAAATCGGTTGAAATATTTGTGAGCCTAATACTGGGTTCACTTTAAGGGCATTTTCCACAACCTAAAAATCATAAAGACATATTGATTGCAGGCAGTAACAAAAGCCACAGGTAAAGAAAATAATGTATTAAATATCACACCAAATCCAATATACAAATAAGTACATGAGGTAGGTAATTGATACTCTGGCTTTAGACATACAGTTACAAAATAATTCATTAAAAATGCAGTTTGACATAAAATACATAATATCTAGACCCAGCTTACATAGAATTATAATTAATCACATCCCAATACCATTGGTATCATGTTGTTAATGGAATTCTTATCTTTGCATTTTAAACAAACAAAATTATAAAACATTAAAATAGAGGTAGCAAAAGGCATTATCAAAATATTGGCTTTTCATAGTGAAAAGGAAAATTAGTAACTGTACACAATGCCCAAAAATAAATCTACATTTATATTTATCAAATAGGACAGAAAAAAAGTATGTTGTATATATACTGAACTAGAGGCCCAGTGCATGAAAATTCATGCACTAGAGGGGGGGGGGTGTCTCCCACCCCAGCCTACCATCTCTCAAAGTCCGGGAGCCCCCAGGGGTGGTGATTAGGGAAAGGCGACACCCCATCACACCTCTGCTGCTGGCAGTGCAAGCCTCAGCCGGCCCTGGTTACCTGAGCCTTGGGCAGCCCCGGTGGGCTGGGCAGCCTCCATCCAAGGCCTGCCTGTGCTTTGTGCTGGCCCTGGGTGGCTGGGGAGTTGAGGGACTCTGGAGGCAGGTTCATGGCTGTGAGGCCTGGGTGTCACCATCTTTGAGGGTGGGGCAGTCAATTAGCATACTCCCAATTTATTGGCTGTGGGTGCCACTATCTTTGTGATGGTGTGAGTGTCAATTTGCATATTCCCTCTTTATTAGATAGGATACCTATTAAATGACAGATATTATTTCATTTGTAATATGATCGTGTATATTATTAACCATGAGCATTTTTATAGGTAAAAATTATAAAAATTATTCTTATACGATTAAAATGGGGTCTGTCCATAACAAAGGTAGCAGAAAACTCAGAGTGGGGTGTGATTTTGTTTGCTTACTTTTGTTTTATTTTCATTTATTTTTTGAATGTTTTTATTGGTTTTTAGAAAGAGAGGAAGGGAGAGAAGGAAACATTAATGAGAGAGAGAAAACAACTGGGTTGTCTCCCATACCCACTCTACCTGACTAGGGACTGAACCAAAACCTGGCACATGTCCTGAGAAGAAATGGAACCAGCAACCTTTCGATGCATAGGATGACACTCCAACCAACTGACCAGCCAGGCTGTTTTATTGTTTAGGGAGTAAGACAGGCAGTGGTCAGGAAGCATCGGTGAGGAAGAAAATCAGACACCATTTACGAGGCTTGTGGGCAAGCACCAGTCTCAAGGCAGAGCCAGGTTTCCCTTTAAACTTCAAGCAATGTTTCTCAAGACTAACTATTGACATTCTAAATGGGACAAGTATTTACTGTGCAGGACTATTCCATGCATTGAGGGGCTTTTACTATCTTTAGTCTGGACTCATCATGTACCAATAACATGCTTCAAACACAAGGAAAATCAAATACAGCTCTGTACATTTCAAAACGCTTT